GGGGGGAAGAGGAGGCGGAATCGTGCCCGGGTTTGCCGAAGGGAGGGGGGGGACGCGTTCGTATGAGAACCCCCCACCTCTTTCAGCGGTAAAAGAGCACGTACTGTGGGGTGCCGGTGCGAAACCCCCTCTCTGTCCCGGGGACGCCGTCGTCGGAGCCGAACCTGCCGGCCGGTGCCCGAGGAGAGGTTGGTGGGCACCACTGCGGTTAGGGCCGGTTATTACGCCCTTAGCGCTGCCTGCCAGGCACCCCGCTGTGCCCGTCCTGCCCTCCCAGCACGGTTCCGGTTGGGACGGGACCAGCGATGGTTGCAGACACCAGTCAATGGAGGGCAAACGAGGCGAGGGGCTCATGTGGTCTATGTTTGCCGGCAGCGGGATGCCAGGGAAGAGGAGGTTGCGCCTGGGGCCGGAGAGTCACCCTTCCCGCAGGCAGCCCTTCGCCCTGCCAGCTCCTGCCCGCCGGGGCGGGCTCTGCCGCTAAGCCCGGCACCGACCCTCCGGGCTTTAGGCTACCGGCAGCGCCCGGAGTCGCCCCAAGGCACCGACTGTAGGCGACCCCCCACCCTCCAGCACGGCGGAGGGACACAGGCCACCCCCACAGGTGTCCCCAGCATTTGCGGGAAGGATGCTCCAGCTGCTCGCTTCCTCGCAGGGAAATAACTCTCTGGGCCAGCGCCGCAGGTAATTCCTGCCGCAATGGGACTTTTTTATTCCTTTTTTTTTTTTAATTTTTTTTTAATGTTTTTTTCGAAACGAGCCGTCCGAAGCCGCACCGGCTGCATCGTCCGTGTGTCGGAGAGCCGGTAGCCCTTCCCGCCGGACACCCCCCTTCCCCGGCCGGGGCCACCCCGGCAAACTCCCGCTGCGAGTTTGGGGGAGTAGGAAACGATCGCTCGGTATCGGCAGCTCTTTTGGCCTCGCTCCAGTGCAGTGAGTGAAAATGTGCGTTATTTACTGGCTGGGCAGGAGCAGCCCCGGCTTCAGTCTATTGCATCCATATGTTTACAGGACGTACGCTGCGCCTTCGCAAAGCTCTCGGAAGACGAGTTAATGGGCGTTAGTCCTTTATCTTGAACGTAAGGTTTTATTCGTTTCTTTTCCACCTTTAAAGCGATCTGCTGGTGGATTAAATGATAAAATCATCGGCTTTAAAATAAGCTTAGACGAATGCCAGGCTGATCCTCCGAACGCGTTTACATTTGATGCGAGTTTACATTTACAATCCAATTTACAATTTCAAAGAGAACAAATCTGCAGAAGCGACTTTTTTTTTTTTTTTTAGTCCGGCTTTGGAAAGAACCTAAAAAATAGTTGAGATTTTGGGGGTGTTGTGAAGCTATACCTGGCCAGCCGTGGTAGACAGGACGAAGCAGATTGCTACGCACGGGGTGCAGTAGAGACACGGTTGGTTTCTTAGCTTCTTCGTGAGTGGCTCAAAGAGTAAATCTGCTTAGTCCTTGGGAAAGTTAGGGCTCGTTTCTGGACAGTTATGCGTAACTCCCTCTGTAGGGTTACAATCCCATATTTCAAGATTTGCAATTAGTAAATCGAAATAAGGGCAAGTCGCGCAGGACCGGGACTGACTCCGTCGTTTGCATTTGTCACCGTCTCGGGAAACAGACTGCAGGATCTGTCTCTGCGACCCTCAAACCTTCCACCCCAGAGGAAGCAGCTTTTCAGGAGAAATAACGTTTTGACGGGTCCCTGGAAGTTTAGGAGTCTTCCTCAAAATGAGATTCGGGAAATGGCGGTAGAAAAGCTCGACTTTTCGTTTAGCTCATCAAAGCAAATTTCCCAGAGCGTGGCCAAACGTGTCCTTCCCCTGCCCACAAGAAAGCGCAGCCGCACGCCGTGCGCTTCTGCGCGCCGGTGTGGAGAGACCCGCCAGAGCGACTGACACGGGGTGGAGAGACAGACACCTCTTCTTGGGTGTTGGACGGCGGAAAGGAGGCGTCAGGGCCGGCCAAGCTCCCCGGGGTACCCTGCCTGGCATCGGGAGCGGGAGGCTCCTTTGTGCTTGCCCGGCGGGAGCGGGTCGTGGGGTCAGGCTGAGGTGTCACCGGGGCACCGGGAGAAGGCGAAACTCGGGAGGATGCACCGCGCCCTCTCTCCTGCCCCCCGCTCCGCCCCAAGAGACCCCCCAAGAGCGGGGAGGAAGGCTCTCATTGTTTTTAAACCAGGGCTACCCGCGGACACCCGGCCAAAGGATACGCGGATTCGGGGGGGCTTCAGGCGAAGCATTTAGAAACGCGCTCCAGAGCCGGAGCTTAGGGCAAGGCTTTCCGTCTGCGGGACAAATTCTTCTCCCTCCCGCAAGGGAGCCAAGCGGGGCTCCCACCGCAGCGGCCTTTACCCCTGCAACCTTGCGGCGGGGGGGTTCTTTGAAACCACCCGGTCGGTGAGAGGGTACCGGAGGAAAAGGCGGCGCTCGGTGTCACGGCCGCACCACCAGTTTGCGGCCACGCTGCAGGCTGCCCGGCCTGAAGGGCGTGAGGCTGTGTGTCCGTCACACGCGTGTGCGCCTACGCGACGCGCTACAGACGGGACCCCCGGTGGCCCCGGCCCCGCAACCAGCCAGGGCGCTTGCGGAGTCCGCGTCGCCGCGCCCCAGCCGCCGGCACCGCCAGGGGTGACGGCACCGAGAGGATACCCCCACCTCCTGCCCCTCCAGCGGGCAGTGGCACTCCGCAGAGGCTGCCATCAGGTGCTGACAGGAGCCTCCAGCTCTTCGGCTGGCACGGGTGGTGGCCTCAGCTCCACCAAGGAGCTGGCGCACGCCTTCTTTGCATGGAGGAAACGGAAAACGAACAAATTCCAGACCGGCCCCCCTGCCCCGACCGCCCCCAACACAGCTCCATCAATAACCTATCTCTGCCACCAAGGCAGTGCCGGGCATACGGGCTCCCTCCAGCCCGCTGGCGGGCTATGGCGGAGCGGCGGGGCCGGGCCTGTCGGGTCACCGAGGCCGGGGCTGGGGGCAGCTCTCCGGGGAGGGAGAAAGCGGCTCCACGGGGGGTGCCGTGGGCAGGATCTCCAGAAAAAGAGCGATTCCCTTCCACACGCGTGGTAGGAGGGACTCGGCCTTTCCCACCTCCGCAGCCCCCATGTCGCTGCCTGGCCCGCTCCCCGCGGGAGAAGGGGGGAGAGCGGGCAGGGTGTCCCGTCGGGGAGGCGGGGGAGGGCCCGGCTCTGCTTCCCGCTCTAACCAGCTCCTCGGTTCCCTTGCAGGTCTGGGCGACGCCTGGGGACAGCCAAGCAGGATAGGTCCCTTGGATAACGTGGCCAAGGAGCTCGGATCTCATTTGCTTCAGGTAGTGGACGCCTTCCTCTCCTCGTACGCGCCGCGCATCGAAAACCCGGTGTTGCGGTGTGATCAACCTCTCCTCCTCTTCCTCCTCTCCCCCGCACCGCCGGAGGAGCCTGGGTGAAGCCTTCCTCTTCCTCCCCAGCCTCACACCGGCCGGGAGGGGAGAAAAAATGAGACACCAACCATTTAAATTATTATTCTCCCTCCCCCGCCCCGCCTTTAGTATTAGCAGGAGTAAGAGCTTACCATGGCACTAATCGGCTCTCCGTGCGCTCAAAGTGTCTCCCAGCCGTAAAAGCGATCATCAGAGCTGCTGGGGGGGGGATGTCCCGCAAGCGGCAACGGGGCCGGGGGAAACGACGACGACACACGTTTCGGCTGGAGGGGCGGCAGGCACCGGCGTTCACCGCTGGTGACTCGGGAGGGGAAACTCTTAAGGAATTCGGGGCTCCAGCCGCGGGGTGGGTGGGGAGTGGGGTGTAGGTCTCCCGTGGACGTTAGCACCTGGAAATACCGTTTTTCCCCCAATCCCGTCGATCTGCTGTGGAATTCCTCTGAATTCACCCCCCCACCCCGCGTAAGGGAGTTTAGGAAGTCGTGTGTGCCAGCCGGAGGAAAAATAAATAAATAAATAAATTACCTTTAGCTCTATTTCTTTTTTTTTTTTTTTTTTTTTTTTTTTTCCCTACCACGAAAGCAGCATTAAATCCCCTTTCCTCAGCTCCCGGTTCAGCCCCTGCTTCC